TATTTTCTCAAAAAATGAGCCCCAGAATGTATCACTCGTTTTTGGCTAAACCTCTTAATTTCCGAGATTCCCTATTCGGACATCCAAAATGCAGCACCCTGTTACAGTGCGATCAAAAAGTCTTTCTATCAAGTAGGCGTCCTAGTTGAGGACGTATGTTGCATGGCAGTTCGTATGTTATCTAGATGTCAAAAAATTATTTTATAAAAATTAAAACACCAAGCTAATTAAATTGAATTGTTCTATGTTCACCACGGTTTCCTGTTATAATTTACATAAAAATTATTTTGACATTTCTCATTTGTCATTGCAACATTTTATCTTCCTAAGACATACGTTTTAAATTTCTACGCTTGCTTGATAGACAGACTTTTTGATCGATCTCACTGTATAAAAATTACTTCAAACGATACAAAAAAAATTGAGTACGGTCCTGGGATAATTACGAATTTCGACGTTTCAGTCGATTCAGATTTGCGAACTAAACAATACCGCAAAAAATTATGTTTATGCGTACAATAATGAAGTCAATATTCACCGAAGTTTCAATATTGATTTGCCCCGTATTTAAATAAAAAAAAATTGTTTTCTCTCAAGCGATGATAATTTATTTATTCAATAAAACAAATGCCGGTCCTGCAATCCTATAAATACCCAGCCGACTAAATTTACATCACGCACATTCATGCATTGAGAAGTGCATTGACACAACGACCCCAAGTCACACCAAAAGACAAGAAAAAACCTTCCACCGAGCGAACATCCATTGTTATAATGGATGGCCGACATGTTGTTTACATTGTAAATGGCTTGTCTAGTTAGCGTTGCAATTAATCCCAATTATGGGCGGTTTATGGGACACCCAGACAGGGTCGAATTCTTCAGATTTTAGGGCCGGTTTTATGACGGCTTAATAATCAACACACCGTAAAAATTCCACGATCCGGGAATGTTTTTACTTATTTATATTATACCGAGTGAATCAAAATTGTGACATCACCTAATTCTGACTCTACTATAAAAATACAAAAATGCTTTTTTGGTATGTTACATACAGAGTGTCCCAGCGAGTTGAAAAAAAATTACAAAAAAAAATATATAGGACATTGATAGATAGTAATCTAGTCCATCGCTTAAAATTATTTTCAACTATACAGCGTGGTTCAAAAATATGTTACAATATAAACTTGTGTTTTTTTAAATGAAACATCATATGTTTCTTTGCATTTTTGGATGTAGTCTTTTAAAACAATGTTTTTACGCTAAAATTTTTTAAGTCGATTTCGCTTAGTTTTACAAATAAGACGTTTTTTGACGAAAGCATGCACTTTTTAAAAATTTATTACACAAAAACTAAAACATCTACGACAATTTTTTTCTTATTTCTGCAAAGAAAAGCTGTAGCAATTTTTTAGTGTTTTGCATTTGTAAAGATTAATAAATTAACAAGTTTGTTAAAAGTTAAATAACTTAAAAAATTACATGAAACACCCTATTTTTTATTTTTGTATCTAATAGATTGATAAACTAGTCATTGTGGTCAAATCCGATAGGATTTGATTAAGAGTTTCATTTTTATTTAGTAAAGTGTCTTTTAGATTGTAAAAAATAATGTTTGAGTCACTTGGAGTAGTTTCAGGTTGGTTCAGGTCACTTTAGGCCAATTCGGGTTACTTTGGATCATTTTGGCTTGGAGTAAAAAGAAAGTGTTAAATGTACTGACTTTTTGATTTTCAAAAAAAGAAAAATTCTTAAGGAAATGTTTAAATTTAGTAGTAAAAATGCCAATCGAGACGTTTCAAAACATCGTGCTACAAAAGACAGTTGGGGAGACTAAGAAAGTGTCAGATGTACTGGATTAAAAAAAATTTAGACTTGCAAAAAACATTTAATAATTTCTTAAAGAAATGCTTAAATTAAAAAAAAATGTCATTCGAAACGTTTTCAAAACATCGTGCTACAAAAGACAGTTGGGGAGACTAAGAAAGTGTCAGATGTACCCGATTAAAAAATTTCTAGACTTGCAAAAAACATTTAAATTTTTTTTAAAGAAATGCTTAAAATGAAAAAGAATGCCAATCCAGACTTTTCAAAACATCGTGCTACAAAAAACAGTTGGGGAGACTAAGAAAGTATCAGATATACTGGATTAAAAAATTTCTAGACTTGCAAAAAAACATTAAAAATTTTTTTTTAAAGGAATGCTTAAATTAAAAAAAATGTTAATAGACACATTTCAAAACATCGTGCTTCAAAGACAGTTGGGAAGACTAAGAAAGTGTCAGATGTAAAACATTCAAAAATTTCTTCAGAAAATGTTTGAATTTAAAAAATGGTAATCCAGACATTTCAAATTATTTTTTTTAATTATTTTTTTTTTAATGTTTAACGTTGGATATCTTTTTAGTTATTGATTATAAACACCAAAAAATAAATAATTTTAGAAAGACAATTTAATAATCTTTTAAATGCAAAAACAATAAATATGGTGTTCCATTTAATTTTTTTTAGTTATTGAACTATTAACAAACGCTTTCATTTTTTTATCTTTGCAAATACAACACAATAAAAAAATGTTACAACCTTGTAGCTTGTACCTTCTTCTTTGAGGTCGTAAAAAATATTTCTAGATGCTTAGTTTTTGCGTAAGAAATTTTTAAAAAGTGCATGTTTTCGTCAAAAAAACCGTCTTATGTTTGACACTAAGCAAAATTGAACAATAAAAGTTTAGCTTAAAAACATTGTCATAAAAATCTACATCCAAGAACGCTGAGAAACATATGGTGGTTCATTTAAAAAAACACAAGTTTGTATTGTAACTTATTTTTGAAACACGTTGTATAGTTGAAAATAATTTAAGGAGATGGATTAGATTAATATCTATCAATGTCCTATATAATTTTTTTGTAATTTTACCACCCTGTAGGTGCTAAAGCTTTATTTATTAAAGTTATTTTCAAATATACAAAGGATTTTATTATTCCAGGACCGTACTCAACTTTCTTTTCAAATAATAACTGACATGATTTTTTATATTATCGTATTTGCCTTGTCGAAACCTCAAAACCGTGTTTTGTTTTTTGATTTTGTGTGCGGCGTTGCCAAGTTATTTAAATTTTAAAGTGTATAAAAAACCGATTTTTTCCATTTGGTCCAGTTTGACCCTGCAAAAACCCATCGAATCCCTTGGTGAATAATTGAATCGGCCACATTCGGATAAATAAAAGTTAGGTCGAGTTGGTGACAGCTATCAGAGTCGGCGGTGGCTGTGAAACAGTAAAACATCTCGAAACTCCGACCGAAAGGTCCGTAAATTGGCTAACAAGTTTACCTATAAATCTTTCTTTTGTGTCGTGTCAAACTGCTCTCGTGCTGGGGCGTATGTTCTTATCGCCGTTTCTTGGGATTTTTTCGTCAAAAGACAAACGGAAAACGTCTTTATTGTTAGCAACCGGCCGCAAATATGACGTTTTTATCTCCTGGAGGCAGACGCGACCGCTCCCGGGACCTCTAGCTATCTTAAATAACGAATTCGAAGCAAACTTAATCGAATCGGGACAAAAAAGTTCGCTTACAATACAGTTGGCAACACTTAAATTACTGCACTAATGGCAACTTTAATTTTCTTCCAACCAGATGCTCTCCCCACTTTACTTTCAACTACAAGTTCCAAGTCTTGTAACAATTCGTCTTGGCAATTCACCGCCTTCCTAGATTGATTAAAGTCGCGTGTTTTGCCTACGTGTCTTGTTCGATGACTCATGAATTATTCAATGGAATTTAAACGAGTGTATTGGACGAAATTCTATACTTTGGCTTAGAAACATCATATGAACCTGTGTACCAAATCTGAGCATTGTAGCACGAGTTTGTCCAAATGACCTTGAAATATTTAATTGCTTTTAATTCGGTTATTATTGAACGTAAGTCGTATTGTGAGGCCTCAATCGTTTCGTTGGGACGTTTTCTGGAAGACTTGGCTATAGTCTTGGTAGAATTTAATTTCGTAAAGTTATTATCGGGCAAAATCATTTCCCTGACTCAACACACAATAAATTCAAGCCCCCTTGCCGTTTGCTTAACGCAGAGATAAAAGCTCGTCTCTTAGGTGTTTCCCAATTAAAATTGCACAAAACTCAAACACGAAATGGAAGTTTAAACTCGGATATTTGCCTACAAATGGAATAATTTAAAGCGTGTTGCTTTTCGATTTTTCGATGTCTCTCTCCGGTTTTTAATTAAAATCGAAAGTGTTGTAAATCTTATGGAGGTTATTAATGTGTGACATTTTCATCGACAACTTCTTTATATTCAGTCAGCGCTCTAGCTTATGTTTGATCTCAAAATCTGAGCTTCATATTGGAAAAGTTTCATTAAGTTTACGGGGGCTTTATTAACCGGACGTTGCGTCTCAGCACTCGAGCTTTCTGTAAATTATTACCTTATCTTTATTCGGAATACTTGCAAAGTGGTATCCCAATGCAAATCTCGGGTGCCATTTTGATCAAGAAAGGAAATGGAAAAATCTACTCTTCCGCTTGTAGTTTTTACGTAGTGATTGAATTTTCGGCTCGCCGGTCTCGAAGTGACATCGTAGTTGGCTTTGACGCTGTTTAATTAATAAAAACAAAAGGGCCGTCGAAGCGTTAACTGATAAATCGGGTCTTTGACGACACGTGACGCAAAGATGACACCTCCACTCGATTGAATTTCCTTCGATAATTAATGAAATTAGGCCACATTTTCATTCATTAATCGCCATCTTGTGGGCAAGGTTGAACGGCCCCACAAAAACGCATAAATCACACCCTCCGGTCCGGTAAGGGTTATAAATCAGGGGCGGCGCGATCGGAAGCACCTGTAGGCGGCGTTTCGGACGGAAAAAATGCCCATTTACACACGATACATCAAGATTAGCGCCCACTCTTACGCACCATTCATCAAGATAGCGGGGGCGATTTTACACAGCTTGCTTTATAATTAGAGTTTTTCTTTTACAGAAATCGCAATGCTACTACCTGGATCTCTATCGCACAGTCGTACAGCGAATGCTACCAGCGACATAAGGAAGAACTTACGATTGAGAGACCCGGAAGCGTATCCTCAATACGATCCTGAAAAAACGTAAGTGGCCATAAACGCACCCTTCTGCTGCGTATATAACACTTTATATTACGCATTCATTCATGGTTTTCTCGAGCGAAACATAAAAAACATTCGCTGGCTATATAGTGACGTTTCGCGCTTATAAACTGCCGAATTAGTCTTAAGCTTTGCTACAACCATCGATCAATTAATTTAGACCTGGATAATCTATCATTGAGATTAAATTGTACACGTGTACAGATTCAGAAGTGATTTATGACCAACCTGGAAAAATAATAATGACAACAACACGTTTTTTTGACGAGAATTTTATTGTTTTGTGGTACAGATGGCGAGAAACAAAAGAATTTGAAATTTCAAGGTCATTTGGACAAACTTATCCTGGAGTCTCCAAATTTGGTGGAGACATTTTTTGTACGGTTGTGACAAAAAGTATGCACTAGCAATGACGACGAATATATCTAAACCAAGATTTAATTTTTTTTCTGATTAGACTGCTACTTTTGACTTCACTATGGCCAGGTGACTTAGATTTGGTCGTCTTGAATGGTTTGCGTGTTTGTAAGTTGAATTATTTTCAAGAATAAGCAAGATATGAGCTATGAAAATTTTCAAGGTCATTTGGACAGATTTGTGCTAGGGTGGCCAAATTTGGTGGAGGCATTTCTTGTGTGTTTTTGAAGTAAAGTATGCAGTGATGGTCACAAGTAATGTTTCTGAGGCAAGGTATTGTATCTCTATTAAATCCTGTTAAATTTTTGGGGGAATTAGCCGGTCAATTCCCATGATAAAAGCCCCGGGAATCCGATATCTAGCACCGGTACACAACAATCCTTTAATTATTATCCTGCGGCTGGTATCCTTGTGTTTATCTCTAGCCGAAATTTGATTAGACCTGGCCATATTCGTGTAAGACACGTTTTCGGGACGGTAGGTGGTTGTACGTGCTTGTCCATGATTGTGCCAATTACTCTAAGTCGGCTTTGATTTTCCGATACGCTTAAAAAGCAACATTTACATGCGTTTTTGATGATTGTTCGCGACGTGTCGTGAGATAACTCGATTCGGGGAAGCTCTCATCTTTTTCGGAGTTATCGTCAATAAGGATCGAGGTGGCGTGGAGCGATCTTAGTTTGTTCTCAAGAAAATTGCTTCGCGAACTTGATATTACTGTGAAAAAGTGAGTGTAATTTTGAGCCGGAGGTGGGGGATTTGTGATGTGTGCGTCAAAAATTAAACACGGTTCGCCGTTACGACCTTTTAAATATTCATTCAATGGTTTTCTTTGTGTTTTATTAACGTTATTGTTGGAATTTTTCCACTTTTTCGCTCCTTAATTGCGCAAAGATCCCCTAATCAAAGTCTCATCGGGATCAAGTTGAGCTCTTGAAACGGAAACTGTTGAAAATTCCACCCCCTTTTGCAATAATTAATGCTGCACGAGGTGTTTTATTGTCATCAGCCCCCCGGACGTTTCGTCATATTAATCACCCCCGGTGTGACTTAATAACGCCGGTACAACGTCTAATTCACATCGTGTAAGCGACGACCAGCCGCGGTCATTTTAATTAATTCACGCTGTATACACAATGTGGGGAGGGTGGCTAATGCGACCACAACGGAGCGCTATGTTTTCATTAGCGGTCGTGTATCATGGCGTAATTATTTCTCTCGTTACGGTCCGCAAAGGAACCGCCGGTATTTGACTATGACACGTCCGTCGACAACAAAAAAAGGCCAAGTTTAACGCCAGATTAAAAAAACTACTTTTTTTAATAATTTTTTTAAGTCCGATTAAGTTTGTCGTCTTTAATCGTTTGAATGATTAAAAATAAAATTATCTTGAAAAATAAACGAGATTCAAGGTTTCAAAAATTTCAAGGTCTTCTGGACAGGTTTGTGCTAAATCGACCAAATTTGGCAAAAACGTTGCTTGTACGTACCTGAAGCAAAGTATGCATTGGCAATGATAAGAAATATCTCTGAGACAAGATATACATTTTTTGTCTCAAACTATCCTTGTAGCCTTCAATTTATTTATTCTTCAACACTGTCAAAATTTACGGTTTTTCTCCCGTGTAAGGAAGTTTTGACAACTGTTTGGCATTTCTCAATACAAAACGTCAAATTATTTTTAACAGATTTAAAGCAAGTTTAAGCCTTAAGACTCTAATTCGAAGAATAAAATGTTGTATTCCACTCGTTTGAGTGTAAATCGGACGCTTTATTCCACCTCGTGGATGGTAAACCACGAGTTACACTCGTGGTTTAAAAATCCACTCGGTCAAATAAAGAGTCCGATTTACACTCAAACTCGTCGAATAAATAACTAATAATTGATAGGTAGAGTGAGTAGATTTTTTTGTCTGCAATTATTTGAAATTTAACAGGTCGAATTATTTTTAACAATAAGTCAGATATGAGCTTTCAAAAATTTCAAGGTCATCTGGACAAACTTGTTCAAAAGTAACCAAATTTGATACAGATGTTTCTTGGACGTTTTTGAAGCAAAGTATGCAGTTTGATTAGTAATGTTTTTGAGACAAGAATTTATATCTTAATAAAGTAGTTTGTTTTTTTTTGCCTAAATTTGTTGCCTTATTTTCGAAACCTCAGGTCCTGTTGACGGATGAGTGTATTCGAAGCGTTAATGTTTTTTTAAGTCAGATTAAGATTATCGTCTTTAATCGTTTGAAAGTTTAATAATCAAATTATCTTCAAGAATAAACGAGATTCGAGGTTTCAAAAATTTCAAGGTCATCTGGACAGGTTTGTGCTAAATCGACCAAATTTGGCAAAAACGGTACTTGTACGTACGTGAAGCGAAGTATGTATTGGTAATGATAAGTAATATCTCTCAGACAAGATATGCATTTTTTGTCTAAAACTATCCTTGTAGCCTTCAATTTATATAATTGATAGGTGGAGTGAGTAGATTTTTTTGTCTACAATTGGTTGAAATTTAACAGTTCGAATTATTTTTAACAATAAGTTAGATATGAGCTTTAAAAAATTTCAAGGTCATCTGGACAGACTTGTTCAAAAGTAACCAAATTTGATACAGATGTTTCTTGGACGTTTTTGAAGCAAAGTATGCATTTTGATTAGTAATGTTTTTGAGACAAGAATTTATATCTTAATAAAGTAATTTGTTTTTTTTGCCTAAATTTGTTGCCGTATTTTCGAAACCTCAGGTCCTGTTGACAAGCGTATTCGAAGCGTTAATGTTTTTTTAAGTCAGATTAAGATTATCGTCTTTAATCGTTTGAAAGTTTAATAATCAAATTATCTTCAAGAATAAACGAGATTCGAGGTTTCAAAAATTTCAAGGTCATCGGTAGAGACTTGTTCAAAAGTAACCAAATTTGATACAGATGTTTCTTAGACGTTTTTGAAGCAAAAAGTAGTTTGTTTTTTTTTTGCCTAAATATGTTACCGTATTTTCGAAACATCAGCTCCTGTTGACGGATGAGTGTATTCGAAGCGTCGATGTAACATAAAATTTATCGCTTTCCGTTAAGCCGACCGTTCACGTATCTGGTACCGACTAATAACGTTATTAATTACACTTTCATGTATTTCGAAAACGTTTGACGTCGAGTTGGAAACTATGACGCTTGGCTGGCTTTGGAACAAACATGAGGGGTTAACGACGTCACGCCTGCGACAAATTCTCTAAAAACTCAACCTTTTTATCTTTTTATAAAGTTGAAGTTTGTCAATCCCCAAAGGTGTGATCCTTTAGGAATTTGTTTGCTGCACCTGAGCGGGAGAAAATCCCCCAGTTTTTGCTTTGTCCACCCTTGTCGTGATTAATACAACTTGTTGCTCGGTTTTCATGAGGGTTAGAAAGGACGGTCGTATTATAAGTCGACGTCCGAAGCATTTAAAATATTCAGTTTCGTCGTTCGGAATGTCTATCTTGTCCGAGTCGAGCTTATATGGCTTTTGCACTCTAGAGGGTGCGACTTATGAACTTTACTCGAGGTGGAGGAGAAAAGCTGCTATCTAGATTGATCCGATTTCAAAGTGCAAAGTCAGCCAGTCCACACGGACGGCTTAATGAGTTACCAACAACTGACAGAAAAGGAAAGTATTTTTACTCCTCACATTTGAGGAGTAAATTAAAATCTAATTTTAACACCCACAGTGGATAGGTTTTATCGAGAGGTAACGAGTGACGTGTTGCCCGACATTTAATTTTGAATAATACACAAGATATGAGCTGCCAAAAGTTTCAAGGTCATTTGGACAGACTTGTCACAGAGCAACCAAATTTGGTAATGGCGTTCCTTGGGCATTTCTAAGTCAAAATATAAATATGTGATGTCCTGAACTGTTCCTGGAGCAATTCCATTTGCAAATAATGTGTATTTTCCTTGTTTACTTCATAAAATCTAGTGCTGCATAAAATAAGTCATGAAATATCTCAATAATTTAAAAGAACGACTATTCAGCATGCAAGGATTTGCATTGTGGGTTTCCAAGTAATACGAGATGCATTTTCCATGCGACACAATTTTCCTACAAGTAGCGAATTGAATAGGAAATTAGGAGATTATGTCTATAAAGGAGCGGATGAATTTTTCAAAGGATTTTGTTCACATGTTTTACAATACGTCAGGAAGCAATTCGTGTGTTATTTAATTGCAATTTTAAAGTTTGAATGAAATTTTTTCTCTTTTGAAACTAGAAAGTTCAGTATTGCCGCCGTTTCAGGATTAGCTTTCGATTTTCCGCCCGGTATTACACACTTTATCCTTATTAAATATCTCAAAGTATCAGCTTCGTGCACCTCTAATAATCGCATGTGTCTACAAGAGCAAATAGAGAAGTTGTGTGAGTCGAGTTGGTAACTTGGTTGCATTCATGAATATTAAAATTACTTAGTCGGGACCGAAACACCCTTAATACATCAAAAATGGAGCAAAACACCCGCGTCTAGTATAATACCACGGCATACGAAACGTGAATAATAAAAGATTGCGAGTTGAATCAATGATTCGCAAAAGACAATCAAACTGTTGAATTCTTATATATGAAATGTGGTCGGTGTCAGACAGGACCGGAACTGAAATATGGACCTAGCAACGGAGGAAATTGATGCATTTATCAAAACGTCCGGTCCTGTATACATTGTCGGTTCATCGGTTCGACGATTTTGAAGCCGCACACACGTGACCCGAATGAATAATTGACAAGTGCCAATGCCAATTATAGATAGGCGAAAGTATAAATCATTCGAGGGTTATCTTTTTACGTGAGTTAATTGACAATAAAAATGCAAAAATTGGATATGGGTCATAGATAAACAGATTTTGCTACGCCACCACGCCCCCGGCATGTATCTCTGATCTAGTATTACATTTTTTTAAGTCATATTAAGATTATCGTCTTTAATCATTTGAAAATTTAAAAATCAAATTATCTTGAAAAATAAACGTGATTCAAGGTTTCAAAAATTTCAAGGTCATCTGGACAGGTTTGTCATAGATCGATCGAATTTGGCAGAAACGTTGCTTGTACATATGTGAAGCAAAGTATGCATTGGCAATGATAAGTAATATCTCTGAGACATGATATGCATTTTTTTGTCTAAAACTATCCTTGTAGCCTTCAATTTATATAATTGATTGATTGATATAGTGTAGTGAGTATATTTTTTGTCTATAATTGTTTGAATTTTAACAGGTCGAATTATTTTTAACAATAAGTGATATGAGCTTTCAAAAATTTCAAGGTCATCTGGACAAACTTGTTCAAAAGTAACCATATTTGATAGAGATGTTTCTTGGACGTTTTTGAAGCAAAATATGCAGTTTGATTAGTAATGTTTTTGAGACAAGAATTTATATCTCAAAAAAGTAGTTGAGTAGTATTACATTTTCTACCTTTTATTGAGCAAATTCTCGACGTCAATCGACTCCCCGGAGCATTTTAGTTGTTGTAGTTCAAAACATCACCAAAAAAGCAATTATTTTTTTAAATTTTCAACTAAACTTTAGCCATGTCATGTTTTCCAATCAATTAAAATCCCTTCGAGCATCGAAATTCAATTCCAACTTCCCAAAACTCCCATTTCTCAGGCATGCATCCGCACTATCGACCGGCATTCTTTTGTTTTTGTTATCCGGCGTCAGTGTCGTTCGTCAATCGTTGCGGACTTTATTAATCGATTCTAGAATGCGGACGTTATATCGAAATTTATTACGACCTTTAGAGATTCTTCCTTCAAGGGTTGACTTTGGACGCTTATTTTAATATCATCCCACTTGATCCTGTAATAATTAACGAGCGACAACGTCTTTATGTGCGGAAACTAAAACCTGGATGCGACACCTCCGATGATAAATCGGTCGGCGATCGGAAGGTGGGATGGATTTTAGTTTGATGTATTGTTAGAGTTTTTTTTTCAGTTTTGTTTACTTCAAAACGAGAAATGTTTGATGTTGAGCGCTTTGTGAGGTGGCTTTGAAAGGACACTCACACTTGGAGATGTGATGTTTATTGCGCTAACGAGACGTTAAATGAACTCTAATCCAAAATGGCCGATTTTTTAAGATTACATTATTTTTTGTGCAGTTACAAGGTTTCCCAAAATTTCAAGGTCATTTGGACAGGTTTGTCATAGATCGACCAAATTTGGCAGAAACGTTGCTTGTACCTCCTTGGACCAAAGTATGCATTAATAGTGCTAAGTAATTCTTCTGGGACAAGATATTCCGTTTTATGCTTAAAACTTTACTTTCAGACTTAAATTTATGTAAGTGATAGGTGGGGTGAATTGATTTTTTACCTGGAGTTGTTCGGATTTTACCAAATCGAATTATTTTCGAAAAAAAGCCAGATATGAGGTTTGGAAATTTTCAAGGTCACCTGGACAGATTTGTCCAGAGGTAACCAAATTTGATAGAGATGTTTCTCGGACATTTTTAAAGCAAAATATGCAGTTTGAATGATAAGATTGAAGATTTGCTGTCTTTTAAGAAGTAATAATTTTGAGTAATTTTGCGGACTATAGTATTTTTTTCTTATTATTTTCAGATATTGCGTCGAATTCCAGATCATCAAAGCGTCGAAGGCTTGCAGGAAAGAGCCCAACTACAACGCCCTGAAAGAAGGTGGGTTCATTTTCTTTTTATTGTTTTTTTATTGATGAAAAAATTGTCAGGTGAGAGGGTGTGCGTCCGCTGCGAGTCTGAAGCTCTTCACCAGAACTTGGGTTGGCGATGTCAAGGGCACGGTGTCGAGGGCCGTACTACCCGTTTTTCGGCCCTTTCGGCGCCCCACTGTCATGGCAAATGGTTGCGGGCCCATGCCGAGCCCGACCGGTCCTGCACGGCGAAAAACTGCAAAGCCGAACATGCCTTCATTTTCGTTTGAGCGATGGTCACCTCATTTCAGTCATTATTTTCCCCCCATGGTGACTGCGTAGAAATAATCAAAAATTTGGAAAATACAACAATTTAGAAAAATGTGTGTCGATGGCTGACCAATAAATATAATGTATTTAAAGGATTTATAATGTATTGTCGAGGTTTTTTCTTACTAAACGTGTTTTTTTTGTAGGGACAGTAGGTTATTCTACTTAATATTTGTTACTCGTAGCACTAAATATTTTTACTAACCGATTGTACATAACGATGCAATGAAGACCCATTTTGTAGGATTTTAAGACCTATATTTTGTCAGACATATCAAAGAATTGGATATCATGTCATTGTTGAAAACAATAAAGTCATTATAAAACATTTAATCAGCATTTTTTTCCCTTTGTAATATCAGAAATTTTTTGCATTTTAAATTCATCTGCATTTTTCTGATCCTAATGCTCCTGATACTTTTTCAAAAAAAAAATAAATTTGAATGCCTCTTCGCATTTATGTGATCCTGATAACTATTCCTGATTTTTTTTAATTTTAATTTTTAAATTTGAAATATCTCTTCGCTCTTCTGTGATCCTGATACCTCCTAATATTTGAAATACCTTTTCAGATTTCTGTGATCCTAATACTTACTCCTGATATTTCGAAATTTTGAAGATTTTGGCGGGAAAACTTATATTTTTAAATTTGAAATACCTCTTCGCCCTTTTGTGATCCTAATACTTACCCCTGATATTTCGAAATTTTGCAAATTTTATATTTTAAATACGAAATACCTCTTCGCATTTTTGTGATCTTGATACTAACTCCTGGTATTTCCAAATTTTGTAGTTTTATAGGAAAAACTTAAATTTTTAAATTCTAAACACCTCTTCGCTTTTTTGTGATCCTGATACCTGTCCTGATATTCGAAATTTTACAAATTTGAGCGAAAATATATTTTTTTATTCAAAATATCTCTTCGCGTGATCTTAATACTCCTGATACTTGCGGATTTTAAACCGATTTTCAACCATCATTATTTTATTTATTTTGAAAAGGTGAAAAAAAACAAAATGATAAATAAACAATTTTATTAGAACTAAATTACATCTAATCGTATGTATGGTAAAATACATCAATAAAATAAATAATCACTTTTCAATCCACAGCCTCTCAATCAACCACCGTCACTTTAAACGTAACTTTCTGATCCAACCCGATGTACGAATCGCTCATGAAATACCCGGAATACTCATAAACCCCTACAACAAAAAAATAAACCAATTAAACCTCTCAAACTACACCCCAACTCGGCTTTACCTCGTTCCCCTGGAACTTCAACCTCCACCTCCAGACTTTTACTCCTCTTGACTGCAAACCGTTGCAACCTCACCAAATCCTCCTCAAACGCCATGACGAAAAACCACGACTCCTCTTTCTGTTTACTGAATTTGCGACTGTACACACTCAAATTACTCGTCCCGTCCCTAAAAACCTCAAATTCGAACAAACACGACGTTCGCACTTTTACCTCAAACGAAATAAGATTTTGCTCAAGTCTATAATCGATGTTGTCATTCGTGTGGCTATTTTTAATCGTAAATTTAATATCTAAGGTTGGTAGACGTGTTAAAACTTTGAGGATTTCCCCTGACTTTTCCCCGAAATTTTCATCCAAAAGCCGAGTCAGTGTTTTCTTATCGTGACGGAAAAGTGACTTAAGATGGGGCACTGTCACATTTGCCACCGCCAGATGGCGCGCAAGCTGGTCACGTGATTCGGGCGTCACGTGGGGTAACATCATGACACTTCCCACATCAATCATCAATCCCTGAATCAACATTTGGCCCAAATAAATCAATTTTAGGGTACAATAAAGCCAGCTTTTGTGTGACGTCAGACTTATCATAGCCTGCATGATTCGAATGACTTGATCGAAGACGGTTTTCAAATCGACGACATATTCCTGATTTGGTAGTTTTTTATCACATAGGTAACACTTAATCAGCAGTAAAACCTTCAAATGGGGAGAATCAAACGGTTCGCGCGTTTTTACATTTAAATCGATGGTCAAATGTCTGCAATTGAATTAAATTCAATGGATGAGGTTAGGATTCAGTCACGTGACTTACCGATTGATTTTATCCTCATTATGACGTACAGGAAACAGGGAATACTCCTCCACGTGACACATGTGGGCCAATAGGTCGTCAAAAGAGGAGTCACGTGACATGTTTTGGTCCAGATTTTGCACAGTCTTACACGATAGGTAGTACTGGGCCGCAATTTGGCCCAAAAATGTGCTCTCGTAGAAGTCTTGAACGTCCTAAATCACGTGACATAAACAAAATGAGCATAACCAAATATTTTGTTCTTCTATTGATATGTAAACTATGCTTTTAATAGAGAGATTGTTTTTATTTTTTTGTTGGTGTATATTTCTCATCCAAAAATACAATTATTTCAAATAACTGCGATAAAAATAAGTAAAAAAAAAAACACTAAATTAAATCGAAAATGGCGCTATTTTTTGAATTTTTTTAAGCCGTTTAAGTACGTTTTGGAGCAAAAAGATGTGTAAATTTACTAAATCGTCCTAAAAACTAGGTCAAAACCAACATTATTTTTGGGTTTTTCAATTAGAAACGCAATTATTTAGCAAAATTTACACATAAATAAGCCAAAAATCACAGAATTCAGTCAAAAACGATGTTATTTTGAGTATTTAAAGCCCTTTGAGCTAAAAACTTTGTTTTTTCGAGAGATTCCGCTACACTAAACACAAAAGTCACCAAATTAGGTCAAAAATGTCATTATTTCTGCCTTTCATATGTTTGTGAATAGTGAATTAAAAAGTTTTTTTTTTATTTTTGCAAAAATATGCCGAAAATTAGATCAAAAACTACATTGCTTTTGTTTTTTTTTCGGTGTTAGAGTACATTTCTCATCCAAAAACACAATAGTTTCAAATAATTGCAATAAAAATTAGCCAAAAAAAAAATACTAAGTTGCATCGAAAATGGAGCTATTTTTGACATTTGAGCCATTTAAGCACGTTTTTGAGCAAAAAAAAAACCGTGCTAAAAGAGCATCATATTTTTGTAGTTTATGGACGTTTTTGTGTTAAAACCTCAGTTTTTTAACGAGATTCCGCAAAAACATGTCAAATTAGGCCAAAAATTAGCGTTTTACTATATTTCTCATCCAAAAACTTAGTTATATTTCAAAAAAATCCACTAAAAATAAGCCAAAAAACCTCTTTGATTTAGAAACTCAATTTTGCACGAGATTTCGGTAAAACATATAGAGAAATCACAAAACTAGATGCAATATGATATTATTTTTGCACTCTTTGAAACGCATTTAGTCAAAAATATTTTTTTTGGCAAGATTTGAAAAAGTCAAAAAAATCATCAAATTAACTCAAACAAAATATTATTGTAAATTTTACAAGCGTTCTGGCATTTTCTTAGTCAAAAATTTCGAAAAAAAAGGCCAAAACCCACGGAATTAGGTCGAAAATGGAGTTATGTTTGCCTTTTTGGAGCATTTAAGCAAGTTTTTACGTTAAAAGATCAATTTTTTCCGAAAGATACTGAAAAAAGCATCAAATTTGATCGAAAATAGCTTGATTTTTGCCATTTTTGAGCATTTCTTTCAGCGCGTTTTTGTGTTAAAACCTCAGCTTTTTTTAATAAAATTTCTCTAAAATATGTCGAAAAATCATCAAATTAGATGAAAAATGACATAGTTTTTTTTGTTTTTAGGGCGTTTTAGCACATTTCTTATCCAAAACTTCAATTATTTAAGAAAATTCCAACAAAAATAAGCCAGAAAACACAAAATTTTGTTAAAAATGTTGCTATTTTTGTTTTTTAAAACGTCTAAGCACGTCTTTGAGTTAGGACCTTAGTTTTTGCAAGATTTCGGTAAATACCAAAAAAATCACAAAATTAGGCCGAAAATTATATTTTGAGCGTTTTGGCAAAATTTTCAAGAGGAAACGAATTTTTCTCGTCAAAAATAAACAAAAAACCATCACAGTAGGTCGAAAGTTGCCTCTTTTAAGTCCTACGCACATTTTTTCGCAAGATTTTGTTAAAATAAACAGAAAAATCATCAAACTTAAACCTGACTAGTGTTTTTTCAAATGTAATTATTTCGAAAAATTTCGAAAAAAAAGGTTAAACCTACGAAATCAGGTCAAAAATGGTGTTATGTTGGCCTTTTTGGAGAATTTAAGCACGTTTTTGTACCACAAAAATTTTTTTGGTTTCGCAAAATTTCGTTCAAAGAATTAGGCAAAAAATCACCAAACTAAGTTTTGTCTTTTTTAAGCGCATTTTTGAACTAGAAATTCAGTATTTTCGCGAGATCTTGCTAAATTGACGCCAAAAATCATCAAAAATGACCTATTTTGCTTAATTTGGCTTGTTTTTAAACTGAGTTTTCATCAAAACAAGCCGAAAAGTCATCAAAAACTTACAAAAAATTAGCATATTCAAACGGTTTTTCTATAACAACACCACAAAAAAATGTTCATTATGGATGTGAGAGTGTCAATAATGTTTTGTAGAAATTATATACCAGGTGAATAAAAAGTATGGAACCAAACGTTTTTTGCTTAAACTATTTATTTTTTGAAAAAACTAATTCATGAGTGATAAAGTACTATAAAAATGTGATGATTTAACAAGAATAAAATTTTTCGAAATTTCCTTTTGTTTTTGAGTTCTACAAAAAAAAATATTTTTTTAAATGGCAACCCACTATAAAATCATTTTTCTCATAAAAGCTATACTTTAAGGATTACAACTATCTACTTTATATTTAATTTTTTGAAAAATTTTTTTCACATAAATTGCAATTTTGACAAAAAAATCGCATAACTCAAAAACAAAACAAAATTTCGTTCTGAAAATACGATCACATTTTTTATATTACTTTAATTTATATTAATTATTATTTTCTGGAGACAAATGATTAAAAATAAAACCGCTTGGTTCCATACTTTATATTCACCCTGTATATTGTTAAGCACTAAAAAATACACCTCTACACAACAAAATAACTAAACCACTTGTCTGATTCAGCAGAAATACGTCGATTATGTTGTTAAAATTGATCTCATACTCATTGAATAATAGATCAAAATAAGTAGGTAGTGATTTGTGATAAGTTATTTAAGACTTTAAGAGAAATCTTGACGAAATCTGATAATATGTGGTTTAGAAGGGGGCGAGCGGCAAAGCCGCGAGCCCCTACAATTTCTACAAAACATTATTTTAAGTGTCATAATAACAATCGTAATATCTTAGTTGAATTTTTCGTATATACAGAGTGATTCAAACAACTCACCTCATCTCGAATAACAATACACTGTGTCTGCTTCAACTGTCCCGCAACCGAATCGGCCAACTCTTGCAAAAACCCATTCGCATCCCCACTCTCCATTTTATAATAACTCGGATTAACCAATAACCTTCGAAAGAAAAAAGTCGAACAAATCAAATCGACCAATTGCGAACGACACGTGACCGTTCCATTAGCAATTTCCGCATTAACATGCTCTGGTAACACTTGTAACAAATTCGATTCAACCGGAAACGGCTCAAATAAAAACTTCCGATAGAAATTCTTCTTACTTTCTTGCACGAAAACACACGCCACACCACTGGTATCAAACTGGGGCCTGCCAGCCCTTCCCATCATTTGCAACACATCAGTGACCGGCATATCAACATATCGTTTAGTCGCCCCATCGTAATATTCCGTCCCTTTGACGATAACCAAATGGGCGGGGAAATTCACCCCCCATGCTAAGGTGGCTGTGGCTACCAAAACTTGGATTTTTTGCGTGACAAATAACTCCTCAACTGTCTTTCGATCATGGTCTTGGAGGCCGGCATGATGAATCCCAATCCCAAACAAAAGAAGATAACTCAAATCCGAATCGGTTATAGTTTTCCGGATTGATTCAATCTCATCCTGGGGGCAATGCAACCACTGTTTCGGATTCGTATCACTTAAAAGACACTTAATCAAGTCGTATGAGGTGATTCGGGTTTGTTTTCGTGACGAAACGAATATCAAAGTGGGACTTTCGGGGGCATATTGACATATGGATTGATATGCTGGTCGATTCATCGTAGCCATCCTTGGACAGTAATTTTTCGCGGAAAAACCCTTCAAATGGATTTCCAAGGGCACAGGACGTACCGAAGAACTAAAATTGTAAAGTCCCTTCGTTTCAATACCCAACCAATTGGCTAAATCACCAGCGTTGGCCATGGCTGTTGACAGTCCAACAATTCTAACCTTAGCATTCTTTATACTATTGATATAGTTCATTCGTGAAACTATAACTTCAAGGACCGGCCCTCTATCTTCGGCCAAAAGATGAATTTCATCGATTATTATAAGACCTACTTGTTTGACGAAGTCTTTTTGGAGCCAATTGCGACTCATCCCGTCCCATTTTTCCGGTGTCGTAATGATGATATTAGAGGTGGCGATTAGGGAAGAGTGGGGGGTGATATCACCGGTCACTTCGACCACTTTTTTGCCAATTTTGGCGAATTTTGGGGTCCAATCGAGGACACGTTCGCGAACTAGGGCCTTCATGGGGGCGATATATACCACTTTTCGGTTCGGGTGTGTGGCAAAAAGGCGTAAAATGCAAATTTCCGATACTATGGTCTTGCCGGAACCGGTTGGTGCCCCTAGTAGGATGTTTGAGTCGGTGTTGAAACAACAGTGGAACACTTGGCTTTGTACAGCGTTAAAATGGGTGAAACTGTATAAATTTTCAAATTCGGGGTTGTGTAATGCCGTTTTGGGTAAAGGTCTCACACTTAGAAATTTTGTTTGAATTGTGTAACTCGGTAAAAGGTGTAGTTTGTCCAAGTCGATTCTGTAGGATGTCTCCGCGGCTGCAAACCATCAAACTTTAGCGACTGGGACTAGACAGTTGGGATACTGAATAATTGTTGCCAACTTAATTTCGAAATTGTGGCCCATTTTGATCAAAACTTAAACTTTTGCTACTTTTTTTCAGGATAAAAATCACCAAATTTTGATTGATTTCTTCTACCAGAAACGCATTTATTTCGCCAAAAAATCACCAAACTGCACCAAAAAATTTCGAGTTGGTATTTTTTGTAAACTCAAAAAATTCATTTTTTTTTAAAGTCGTTTAATATTTTTATAAATATCTTATAAAATTATTTATCACACGTAAAAACAGTTTTTTTCCAATTATGCTAAAGAATTTGTACATTTCTCAGCCGTTTTTTTTCGCTAAACCAAAATAAAAAAATTAGCAATTTTGTTCAAAAATGACATTATTTTTGCTCTTTTCAATAACGTGAACGTTTTTCAGCAATTATTTCACAAAATTTCCTCAAAAATAAACCGAAAAAATTTCCAAATTGGGTCGAAAGTGCTATTTTTGACTTTTTCAAGCCTTTAAGTTTACTTTTGAGCTAAAACCAGTTTTTTTCACGAAGTTTCGGAAAAACTGAATAAAAAAATCACAAATTTTGATCAACAACATTGTTTTGTCTTTTTTTGAGAATTTTACGACGTCTTTAAGTTAAAAATTTAGTTTTTCTTTGAGAGAGAGTAAAATATACAAAAAAAAAAATACATTTTTGTTAAGAACCAGCCAAAAAATAAGCAAATTAGGTTGAAAATTTCATTATTTTTGCCATTTTCGAGTATTTGACACTAAAAACTCGGTTTTCTCTCAAAATTTCGCTAAATCAAAGCAAAAATTACCAAATTTGGTCAAAAATGGCATTACTCTTGCACTTTCAAGCATTTTTTTTTGAAAGTCTTTCAGCTAAAAATGCACTTATTTCGTAAAATTTCGTCAAAAATAAGCCGAAAAAAAACAATTTATGTTTGAAATGGTGTTTCAAGCACATTTTTAAGATAAACCCAGTTTTTTCGCGAGATTTCAAAAAAAATGGTCAAAAAAATGATAAAACTACATAAAAAATGTTTGTCTTTCCATCGTTTTAGCACGGTTTTAAATTAGAATACAGAATTTTTGCGTGAAATCTAGGTAAAGCGTACCCAAAAATTATAAAATTGGGCCAAAATGACATCATTATTACCCTTTTTTTTACTTTTTTCTGCCAGACGCGCATTTAATTGGGTCTTTGATGTAAAAACTATGTTTTTTTCGAAAGATTTTGCTAAACTAAAGCAAAAAAATCCCAAATGTGATCATTTTTTAATTTTTTTTTCCACTCATGGTAAAGAACTTGCACTTTTCTCAAGCGTTTTCAGTTTTTAACTGTGGAGAAAATTAAAAAGTGTGGGAAAGCAATTTAATTCTTGGACAAATCAAAAAAATTAATTCTCGGTAAAAAAAACTCTGATGTTTCACGCAATTTTCTGAGTTTCTAGGACCCTTAGAAGTGCAAAAAACGTTATTTAGTTCAATTTTAAAATTTGTTTTTTTTTTTAGAAAAATTGAAGTAGATTTTTGTACTAAAAACTCGTAAAATTTCAAAAAATCTGGCCAAAAAATCAGGAAATTTAGTCGAAAATTAGGTTTTTCAATCATAAACTAAGCTAAAAAATCATCAAATTATGTCAAAATTGACGTTATTTTAGTCTGTTTCACTTGAATTATTTCAGAAAATTTCTTCAAAAACAAGCAAAGTCATTATTTGTGTTTTTTCAACGTAAGATGAAATGAAATTTCATTAAACTGGACAGAAAAAAACAAAAGTTAAGTCAAAAATTATATTACTTTTGTTTTTACCCTTAAACAAGTTTTTGTATTAAAAACTCTGTTGTTTTTTGTAAAATTTCGCCAAGTCGAACTAAAATATTACCTAATTTGATTAAAAATGACCGTTTTCCAGTGTTTTAGCACGCTTTTTAGTCATAAACGCAATTATTTCGTAAAATTTCATCAAAAATAAACCGAAAAAAACAAAAATCAAAAAAATCGGTCGAAAACATTGTTATATTTGCTTTTTTCAAACAATCAGGCATGTTTTCAAGGTAAAAAGTATGATTTTTGGCAAATTTCGCTAAACTCGACCAAAAATCACATTTTTGTTCAATTGTTTTAGTAAATTTTTCACAAAAACAAGCACAAAATGATGTTATTTTTGTCTTCTTCCAGCGTTTAAGCACGGTTTTGTATTTAAAACTCATTTTTTGTGGTAAAATTTCACAAATCGGACTAAAAAAATCATCTAATTTCGTCGAAAATTACGCTTTTTGTGCGGTTTTCCAGCATTTTAGCACGCAAAAATCACTAAAATCGGTCAAAAATATTGTTATTTTTGCTTTTTTAAAAACAATTGAGCATGTTTTTAAGACAAAAACTCATATTTCTGCCTTTTTCGACCATTTTAGCAGAAATTACATTATTTTTGACATTTTAAAGCGTATTAGAACGTTTCTAAGCCAAGAAAGTAAATTTTGAAAAATTTCGTCGAAACTAAGTAAAAACTCAGTTTTCTCGCTAAACTGGGCTAAAAATTACTAAATTTGGGTCAATAATCACATTATTCAAACGTTTTAGCAAATTTTTCAGACAAAAACGCAATTATTTCACGAATTTTTTTGAAAAACAAGGACAAAATGATGTTATTTTTACTTTCTTCCAGCGTTGAAGCAAGTTTTTGTATGAAAAACTCAGTTTTTTTACTAAATTGAAAAATCATCTAATTCGGTCGAAAATGACACTATTATTTCGTAAAATTTTGTCAAAAATAAGCCAAAAACCACTAAAATCGGTCAAAAATATTGTTTTTTTTGCTTTTATCGCAACATTTCGCTAAACTCAACAAAAAATCACATTATTATCAAATATTTTAGTAAATTTATCACAAAAACAAGTGCAAAATGATGTTATTTTTGTCTTTTTACCAGCGTTTAAACACGTTTTTGTTTTTAAAACTCAATTTTTGTCGTAA